TCATGGGCCTTCACTATGTTTATGAGCTAGTTATATTACTATCCTTACAGAAGCTTCTAAACTTAAACATTTATCTTGAGATAACATGGCCTCACTACCAAATCATGTATAATTAGACATGCTTATTTTTTAGAATATATAAAACCAGGTATCCAAAATCACAATTACGTCGTTATAGTCATATAAGTCATGCTTTTAAAGCTTAGTTTAAAACCAAGGGTAAATTTATGAATTTACTCACCTTATGTCATAGAAGAGCAAAACACACAAGAACTGAAAGCTAGAGTAACAAGGATGGTCAAGAATCTTGATGATTTTCAATTAAACCCCTAAATTTTTATTGAAGCAAATAAGCTATTAAACTTATTGATTTGCTAATTTACTCCTTTTTCTTTACAGCACACTTAATGCTAGTTTGTATATTACTTACGTGGATAAGATATTGACATATCATTATCTGCATGGTGCGTATTGACCTTATCTATGTAAATAATGCACAAACATATGTTAAATCCATTGTAAGGAAAAGGGTTAAATTGCTTAAATCATAAGTTTAGAAACTTATTTGCTTTAAAAAAAGTTTAAAAACTTAATCAAGAATTTGAAATAAGTTTGGGGGTTTAACATAACATTTTGCCATTTTTATTACATATATCTTGTACATCTGACAAAGTCATCTATCCACCCCCAATTGTGGGGCAGTTGTCTCACATCGACCCTGTGTGCGTGAGTTATAAGATATATATGGGATTCCAAGCAATTTCAAACTGACCGATTTTGGAATTGTGCTGTATTCCGTCATTGTACCCATGTAAGTGTTTCAAAAAAGGCCAACCCCCTTTAGTTGGGGTCTCCCCCCGATTTTTGGAGCGTTTTTTCCCCTTGACCTCGTGTGCGTGAGTTGTAAGGTATATATTGAATTCCAGGCAATTTCAAACTGATCGATTTTGGAATTACGCTGTGTTTCGTCACTGTACTCATGTAAGTGTTTCAAAAAAAACAAAGTCATCTATCAATTTTTAAAACTTTTAAGACTTAATTATCATTTTTTTTAATTTTTGAGGACAAGTCATATAAATTTCTCCATTCATTTTAACGGAGAATTACACTGTTCTGTTGGTCCAGCGATTGATTTGCACTGATTCCTTAGTATAGGGGGTGATTTGCCACCTACCTGACCACAGGAGCATAAATGCCACCATTCCACGGCATGGAGGTTCATTTGCATCTTTGACCTTGAAAGATCTAACAGACCTTATGTAAGCAATTGAGATACGTTCAAATTGGCCCGATGTTATGGACACAATTACGATGATCAAATGTTTGAGGGCCATATTAAACCATATTTGTAAGGTTCAGGAACACAAAACCATTGATCCAACATTATGACACTATCAATGAATAACACAAACCACAGTGGATCTGATTACAAAAATATTAAGGAGCTTGAAAGGTAACAATCACACTAGCTGCAAATTACAAATAAAAACTGAGAAAAAGAGGACAGAAGCCACGGAAAAACCCAATAAGCTACAACCTATACAACACAACCATGGCCACAATAAAAATCTGACAAAAGGTTAGCCCACCGTCTACATGTTCCTTTATCTTTTATCAAAGATCTGAAAGCAGAGGAATAACAGTCTATGTCAGAAGCATGCCAATTTCTTCCTCAGATCTTTTCTTTTTCCCAATTCCTTTTCTTCATATCCAAACTCATTGATCAACAGGGTCATCAACATGTGAGTTACAATTTTATAATCGATCACGAAAGAAGACACATAAAAGAGAAGAAAAGAGGAACAGAGAGACCTATGCAAATTTAATCTGTGCCACTGCTATTGAAATTTGTTGTGTCATTGGCTGCTGCGTGTTAATCCACCTTGACCTGCATTTCTGCAAAATTGCAAACAAGAAATGATCAGCATCCTTGAAATTGGGTGATCAGAATCGACAGTTGTTTAGAACAAATATTAAAACCAGCGTGATAACACAACTATAAACATAGGCAACGGTGGTCTAAAATCAACTGAGACTATTGAAAGCCAGGCTATCCTAAAGAATGAACTCATGGATACGCAAAGACACCATTTGTAGACTGTACGCATTGATAATAGTCCCATTCCAACTCCACAGAATTATAAGATCAAGGTTACATGTAAAAATGCAGATAGAACCAGCAGCCAGCCAAAGGGAAAGCAACCACAGAATCCATAAATTATCAAAAGACAAAAAGTAACAGTAACTTTTCTTTACAACACTTCAAAAAGCATGCCTAGGTACCAGGTAACACTCCACCCCCTTGCCTACGCCCCAGGCAGTGAAGCTAGGCATTTTCTTTATTTTCTTAGATGTTCTGATTTATTTAGCATTTTTGGAAGAAGAAAGAATAAAAAAGAAAAAACACCTAAGAGTGCCCAGAGGGTGCCTGGGCGCTAGGTGGTGACCTAACGGCTAGTTCTTTATGCAACACTACCTTTTTCATATGCCAATCACTAATATAACATTCAACCATGTTATAGTTCTCTTCCAAGCACAAAATAAGGTGTCAATGATTTGCTCAAGGGAAAAAGAAGAGCTGCTATAACAAGACACAAGAAGGACCCTCAAGAATAAACCTCAAGAGCCACTCTAATAAGGTTCAGCCTTTTTGATTGAATTAATGGGGTGTCAATGATCCAACCTCGAGTTGCTTGATTATTGATATTTATTATCCTTTCATCTTGTTATCACCAGTGTTGCAAAATGTGTGACTAGGACAGCAGCCCACTACCTCACCTCACCTCACCTCACCAGTGTAAAATTTTGGATTTGGAACAGAATCAGTTATGGTCCAATTCAAGAAATAACGACAAAAAGATCCTCAAACCAAGCTGACCAACACCTTTGCTGGATTCCCAACCAAAAGCAAGATGGACACACCCAGATGTGTCAGGTTTTGGAAGCACAACATAAAAATCTTCTTTTGCTAGGAGAAAATGATAAACAGCATTTGTATTCATTTTGATTTATTTTAATCATGTTATAAGAAGAGAAAAGGAAAAATCAAAACATCGAATCACAGTCGTTAAATATGTGGGACACAATGTGGATGCCAACTTTTTATAACATCCATCATGTGTCTATTATAACTAATGAAAAAAGATTTAATTTACTCCATTAGCCCCGCAGACAATGGGAAAATGCCTAGGAGTGAAATTATTTTGATTTATTTATAGAAACAACTTGAAAAATTCAAAGATTTGCAGTTTGTTGGGCCAACATTAGCTGTGAAAACAAAGTCTTTCATTCAAATGCACGTTCACATGTCTCATATGCTCTTTGATTTTAATTCAGTTTTTTTCCATTTCTTGTCATTATTTTAAAAAAGAATTAAGAAAAAAAGAAGAGAAGAAAAAGAAAATGCCTAGCCACACCATAGCACCTTTTGCAACCATGGTTATAACCTTTTTGGCACTTTAGAAAAGTTAGTTTGATTAGGAATTTCAGAGGAAGAATTTTGGCCGTTGGTCTAGACACCAGAATCAAGGTTGCTAAAGTTTAATATGTACCAACTAGGTCACGCAGTAAGGGTGGTCGCTCTCTAACAACCCTTTATCTTAATAGCTTGTGATGAACCACCCTTATCCCCACAAGAGAACATGAGAAAAAAAAAAAAGGGTTTTTCTAATCTAAACCCTATTAATCTATTGTTTAGCTATTAAATTACATAAAAAAAAAATAAAGGTTGATTTGAATTTTTGCAACTAACCAATTAAAATGGCATTGGTTCTAAAATTAACATAACTTTTTGGTTTTTCCAAATGACTTAATGAATAAAATGTGCATTAATTGCACCCTTAAACACACAGGATAGAAAAATCCTAAAAGAAAAGAGAAAAAGAAACATAACCCTACCCCCTTATTAATGCATCCCAACTGCATATCCTGCTATATTAATTTCTTTGGAAAAATAAAGAAATATAAAAACAAAATATTCTGTTTATAGGATGAGCCACTTGATGATGCTAAAATTTTAGAATGATTATAAAGATTGAACTCAGCAAATGCTTGAGAATTTCTTGTTTTGACAATCAGCAAATGCTTAAGAATGAACACATGGATAAATATTACTTAATACGGTGAACATGCCAAACTGCTGATACAATGACCAGCTTTTCTTTTTTATCAGCATAACCAGAAAATATAAATTATGACATATAACTGCATTCATTCATTGAAAACTATTAAATACAAGAGCTTGGGAATCTATAAAAGATGCTTAATAAGAGTGTCCTACTCTCTGGCCAAGAAAAAAAAGGTCCTATACTTTGCATGACATTTGTCCAGTGCCAAAAGATGGCCTGAACAAATTAACATGGTCAATGAACCTTGTAAATTGTAATTTTAAAACTAAGCAGATTATGGAGGGTTTTGCAAACCATTTAGCTCAGTTTTACTCTGCCACTACTGTCCTAGCTCGTGATTTCTCTACTTCTATGAGTAACCATAACCCATTAACTTTCTTAATGCCTGCACCATTTACTCTCTTGACATTAAGTGTTGGACCAAACAAGGAGGGGGAAAGAAAAAACAAAGCTCTAGTTATTCAGTAAAACAGAAAACTGTTTCCTTATACTAGCAGTTGCTTCCTAAGGATACTAAATCACAGAAAACCAGAAAAATAATATCAACTGAATTTATTTTTGGGTGACTTGATGAACTACTGTAGAGGTACTGATAAATACAAAGAAAATAATATCAATTGATAGAAGGGACGAAAACCCTAAACTCAGATTCTATCTTCACCTGAAGTAGGCACAAGGAAGCTAATTGATCATTCAAGTTTAATTTTCCAAAAGGCAAAAGGTCAACATAGGTGATTTTTACTTTTTTCAAAAGTTTAAATAGCATGGGAACAGGTTTTCCTACATTTTCTCCATATCCAACTTGAAAAAAAAAAAAATATATATATATATATATATATGAAGAAGAAAGAAAGAAAGAAGGAAAATAGCCAACAAATAGCAAATCAAAACATCAAGTTTCACAAGAAATTAAAATAACATCGGCCATGGATAACAATGCTCCTAGGAACTTTTAGGTTTCTGGTGACCTACAAAGTGACTAAAGTCCATCACTTCCTAAATATCAGCATGAGGATTTTGCTAATGAGGGAAAATCCCATAATTTACAAAATTACCCAGAATTTTACAAATAACTTTGCACTATGAATTTTTTTTTTTTTTTTGTTTGCCATCACACTAGGCTTAATACTGGGGTTTAAAAAATGAAATAAGGAATTCTAAAGATTCTCAAGGACAAAGAAAATGAAAACTTATGAATCACAAGAAAATTGTATAGGTCAGATCTGGATGCTGCCCCTACCACTCAATTAATTAAAGGAATACACAACAGAACAATGGTAAAAATAAATCAATTTAGTCAAAAACAAAAGGTAGAGGAGAAGTACCTTCTAGAAAGCAGCTGTGCAGTGTTAACAGGACCCTTCAAATTACTGAACCTTTTGGCCTTGTTCACATGTTCTTTCTCCACACGCATGGCAGCAACTTCCTTCTCCATTGCAGCTACTTCCCTCCTCATCTTTTTAGCCTCAACCTCCATTGCCTTACTCAATGTTTCAACCTTCTTTGCCAGCATCTAGAGAAACAAGAGCACAGTTGACTAACTTATGAGAAGTATAATTTACGATGGTGATAGACAAAGAGAACAGAGAATCGACCTCAATAGCATCATCCTTATCTTTGAGGCTTTGATCTTTTTCATGACCAGCTTTCCTTAAAGCCATGACCTCCTTCTGCAGCAAATCATATAACACCCCTGGAACACTATCTTCTGCATCAGCTGGCTGGAACTCAATAGGTTTGTCACTGTTAGGTGTCTCACCCTCTGTTCCTTCACAGGGCTGATTGAATGAGCTATTTGTGCTAGCTCCATTTAAGAGCACTTTAGCCCTGTCTACTGATCTTGTGCCTCCATCAAATGATTTAGATGTTCCTTTAGCATGCTTCAACACGGTACTTGTACCAGAGGACAAAGATCTCAGCTGAGAGATTGATGTTCTCTTGGATAAAAAGCCATTGGGAGTAAGCTTTGAAAAGTTCTCAGCACCACCAAGCGACTGACGTCTAGAAAGCCCATTGCTTACACTTCTTCCCTCTGATGTGCCACGACTACTGGTTGAAGATCCTCTCAAGCTCTCTTCTAGAACTTTGAGCCGCAAGTGATATTTCTCCTGGTAAATTGAATGCAAGAGTTTTTAGTTTTAATACAATCAGTAACAGAGTGAAGAACAAAGAATGCAGCTGTAGCAAACATATATTACTTTCAAATGTGCTTCAGATTTTGCTGTTCGCTCTACTATAGCAAGCTTGTCCCGAAGTTGCTGCATTTCTCCCTACAATAAAAAAAATAAAAAGAAGATAAATGTAATTGATGACCAAAAAGAAATAAATCCAAGTATATGCAGTTTCAAACAAAAAGAAAGCCATCAATGGTAACCTGCAAGAACCTCCGTTCTTTAAGCCATTGTTTTACTGGCATCACTTTGTCATTAGCATCTTTCCACTCATTTGCCACAACTACAGCCACTCTATTGGCTGTTACCTTTGCACGGGCCAGCTCTCGATCAAGAGTTTTTCTTTCCTCCTGAACATAGAAATGACCATTTCATTTTTTCCCTTAATTGTTAAAAGGGCCAAACTGACTAAATGAAATCTACCAAATTTGGGCATATGAACGTCTTTTAACACATTATTACATTCATCTCCTGAACTTTTCGCTGATAATCCCTGACCACATTTGCAGCCTCACCACCAGCGAGAACAGCCTCTTGCAGCTCCCGAATAGTCTGGGTAAGCTTCTCTACCTCTGCAACCTTTTGGCGATGCATTTTGTCCAAAATTTTGTTTTCTTCCTAACATAGACAAGGTGATAAATATGTTTCTAATTATAGAGATAAGGCCCAGAAACATACCCTCTTGACTTGTAGTGAATTCGATCAAATGGAAAGTACAGAGAAGTATGCATAATTAAAATACCTGGCAAATTTCTATCTGTTTCATCAATTCTTGGTTCTTATTTTGGAGATCATCCACCATAGAAGCTTTAGCCAAGGCAATCTGAACAGTCCTCTCAGCTTCAAGTAAAGCTGCTTCTTTAGATTTAGTTAGACGATCAAGTGCTTTATTATCATCTTGAAGCTTTGCAATCTGCAAAAAACCAGATAGAATAAACAAGGGCGCCATTATTCATCCATAACAAATTCCTTGAATCTGCAGGATACCTTCTTTTATAGAAAGACCAGCATGGTAGACACTTGAGCATAAACATTCCCTTTTTTCTTCTTCTTCTTTTTTTATTTTTTTATCAATCAGCATGAAGGATTCCAGTTGATCAAATTTATAGTTTTTGGAAACTTGTGAATCATGGGGGCAATATGCATTTTACAGAAGTAATGGTGCGCATTCTTTAATAGAAAGACAAGACTGGTGGACACTTGAGCATAAAACCCTCTTTTCTTTTTCCTAATCAACCAACATAAAACATTTTAGTTGATCCATGTTAGAGATTTTTGGGAATTTTTACAAACATGTGGGCACCACACAATTTCCATAAGAGGCTCACATATTGTTATACATTCTTAGAGTTTTATCTAATCTTTTTACCACCTTTAAATTGCCGCATGCTTTTCACAGTAAGACTATCCATGTTTCACATTATATAAGATATTAAGATATAAGCACAAATTATACAGCTGTGGCCCCATTTGCTAGGGCCCTGTTTGGTTTCCCTCCAGGCAGCAATTGTTTCAAGGAAAACTGTGAGTGAAATTGGCTTGGGTCAGGATTATCAAAATCCTGACACAAAAATCAAAGTATCATGTAACCAGTTATGTGAGGTCTAAAAGTGGTTAAAAATCACTTCAATACGCAGATTACATTACAAAATAATCACCTACCATTCCCAGAAACTAAATTTTATCACATTTTTTGGGAAAACAGAATCAGGGCAATATAAGTGGTTATTTTGCAATATAACTGCTGATATGGCTTAGTCCTGGATTGATAGAATCCTGGTCACGTGCACACTTTTTACGGGCAAAACTTCATTAGATTCTTCTTCTGGGGAAGGCTTACCAAACATGCACTAGATGTTAGATAATTTTTCTGTCTGATGTAGACAGATGTCACAGCATCAAATCCAGTCAATAGGTCTCAGTATTATAATTTCAAAACAGAAACACTTTTTCAAGAAAAACAACAAATACCTCTTGCCGAGCAAGCTTTAACTCAGCCTCCAACGGGGCAAGAATGGCTTCAATTGGTGGCATATCATCATCCTTTTGAGCTGCATGAACCCTCCGAAGAGTGGCTTCAGCTGCAAACTGAGCTGCCATGGAAGCCTTCTTCTCATCATACAGTTTCTTGATTTCAAGATTCTGCAAATCATGATTAATTAAATGTACATAGCATCATAAAATCAAAAAGAAACATAAGAATGCTTCAGTCAGTACCTTGGTTTCAAGAAGAGATTCTGTTAACTTGAGCTTACCCTCCACTTTTGAGAGCCCTTCAGTGAGCTATGGAACAATGTAAAATGCGAAGAAAAGTAAACATCCATCAGAACCAAAATATAAAGAAAACGAAGGATACCCAACAAAATCAAACAACATATGGCAAAAATATGTCCAGCACCAATGATTATCAGAAGCTTCAATCGTTTCTGAATGAATGCAGAATCCCATTAAACTTTTAACTCTAGCAGTATTGGCAAGAGAGTAAGTCATTTGTAAATCACATCAGAACAATGATTCCACCCGAGGCAAGTGAACATTCCAAATAGGCATGGAATGCTGATACAAATAATGCTTTAACGGGTAGATGGGAACAAAAAATAATAGATAAGACTTCAAAAATAGAAACCCTGTTACCAGAAACCACTCCACCAAAAACAGAAACTAATATCAATTGAAATTAAATTACTACTGGAAGTAATACAGCACAGCCACCCATGACCAAAATTCAGAAGCAAACTCATTAAGGATTCCAGCAACCAAAAAAAGAAAAAAAATTGCATCTTTACTGAGAAAAGAGAAGAGAGACCAAGTTAGAAAAACAATGAAATTAAATTGACCTCTTCTACGGCCTTCTCTCGAAGTCTTTCAGACAACTTCAAGGCCTTGATCTCTGCTTGCGCTTCCCCTAATTCCCGGTCCTTATCTGTAACCCAATAAATTTATAATTAAATAAATAATACGGAAAAAAAAAAGAAAAAAAAGAAACCAAGAACAGTGAAATTAGCCCAAATCAAGCAGAAAAGGGGGCAGATCGAGCCACATTCAGTACCTCTAACTTCATTCTCCAAGCGATTGAGCTCCACCTTGACCGGATCGGAGCCGTGCAGCAATGTAATGAACTCATTATCAGCGTCGAAGCTAGGCCTAACGGTTCGTCGCCTGGACGAGCCCTTCCCTCCACTCTCCTTAAATGAGGCTGAAACTGTTAAGTGTGGCTGCAGCGCGGTGACCGCAGACGAATAGCCTCCCTCAGCCGCATCGCTGGAAACCTCCGCCATGTCTCCGATCCAACAACTCGGGTCCCCTCAAATCAACAACATAAAAAAGCAGATAGATAGAGTGCTAAGGTATAGAAACTAGAAAGTAAAAACTCAAAGATGTCACATCCAAATAATGCTAAGTAGCTGAGATCCCAACTTTGGAGGTTTGAAAAACTTCAGTAAATATATGGGAGCTGTTAGCTGAAAAGAAAAGTTGAAACCTTTTTTCTGCTTTTGTGGATTAAGTTCAGTTAAGAAGTAAGAGTGGGAACAGCCAAGGACTGTACATTCAGGCGTAGTGGCAATGGCACAGACGTTAACGGGTTTGTAGAGTAGAGGCAAGAGTTCAAGTCCCAACTTTTACTTCGTATATCGTCCCTAGGAAGGGAATGTTTGGCCACCTGACAGATAACCAAGGAATTGACCGACAGCAGGCTGGATTTTTAACCACATTTTTGGATTGAGTGATGAATTTTTTTTTTTTTTTGTACAAATATATTAAAGAAGATAACATTTCTTATTCTTAAATTTCTTTTTATTGGCATCAAGATTTGAATTTGAGATTTTCAATATAAAATTTCAAATTTTTAACTGTTAAATCATTCCATTGAATTTGGATTGAATAATGATAAAAAGGGCAAAAATTTAAAACTAAAGTAATGACTTATTTATGTTATTAAATTAGAGTTAATTATTAAATAATATAATATTTACTTTTTAATATTTTAAATTATGTAATTTATGTTAAATTATTGGTATTAAATTTTTGTCTTAAATTTTGGTTTCATTTATTATTTTTTTTTTGATTTATTTGGATGGTTTGGTTATATACTGAAAGACATTTTCTCAGGTTTTGGTTTATATGTCTAAAAATTGAAAACCAATAGTAAGCTCCCAATGATTGAAAAAGCTGAACCAAAAAGTTTTTTTTTTCCCATCTTTTAGCCATTTTTTCTAAAAAGGATGGCTTTTGGTCTAAATCAATTCCCTTAAAAGGTTAAAAAAAATTACTGTAACTTGAAATTATAAATACAAAACCAAAAAAATAACTAACCAAACTAAAATAACTGACATTAATTTGATTTAATGATCGATTCTCACCTATTTTCAACTTAAAAATTAGTTAATCACTTATCAACGATCTGTAGGTCTGAGTGGAAAAAACTCGATTCTTTTTAAGAAAGATCTTGAGTTCAAACCTTATAAATAGGAAAATAGGCATTAGGAGAGCTTTTCCGTTAATGAGATCCGATGTGACTCGATTCTAAACTAGTTGAAACCTGATGTGATTATTAGATATCGAAAGGTTAACTCTCAAACAAAATTAGTTAACCACCTATATTGGTCGGTTCAATCACCAAACCAACCGATGCCTAGCCCTACCCACAATTCACCGAACCTGCCGATGCCCACCCCTATCCTTCCCCTACAATTCCTTTATGTTCAAAAATAAATAAATGAATAGTGAATAGTAATTTTAGGGAATTTTTGGGCCTCAACTTTCACACCAAACCCCATTTTAGTCCTATGACAGAACAAATCTCATTTTTTTATCATCCTAAAGTTTCTCTCTCTTTTTTTTTTTTTGGTTAATTATAGTACTTTAAATTTAAATTAAACTTATGAAATGGAAAATAAAGTCAAAACCTAAGGCTGCTTAAGTAAAATGGGACCCTCTTCACCCAATTAGATTATTTTCACAAAAAGTAATAATGATGAATACATCCCTATGTTACGTTTGCGTATACTCTATGAGTCAATTAAGTTGACAAGACATTTATGTACTAATGATTAGAAGTGGAAAAATCATACACAATTCATACTCTTGACCCAACTTAGCATGTATAGAACGGCTTAAAATTAATTAATATTGGACCACACAATCTAAAAGTGCATTTTTTATGAATTTGTTAACA